ATAAGACACCCACTGTGAGTGCCAGGGGCCAAAGCAGCAGGTGTTTGCATAAACCAGGGTCCAGGTTGCAGCCTCTGACTCCCGAGGGTCCCAGCCTCAGGCGCTGCCTTCCTACACCTACCCAGCGGGCAGACAGTCACAGGCACAGGTGCACAGCCACAGGCACACGCCTACAACTCGGTGCGTGGGCCTACAACTCGGTGCGTGGAACAGCATGGACAAAAGTGGCCCCGAACAACATTTCTGATTATCCTTGCAAGGCTCCGTGTTTAGGGGGCTCCTTGGGGGCCCCAGTGTGCTAGACTATGCTGTCATTTTAATCCTGATCTGCGAAATCCTGGCCTGGGGAGATAATGGGTTGCTTTCTTAGCCACCGCATTTTACGCTCGGGCCTGGATAGGAACATGGTCAGTGTTCTTTACAAAGCGAGCAAAAAACCCAGACTTTCGTGGCTAATGAATTGCCTTCCGTGCCCACAAGGCCACTGTGTGACCTTTTCTCCACCCACTTCTCAGGCCACTTCAGTCATGAGAGCCACCGTCCTCCCTACCCACCGGCACAGTACACGGCCGCGCCCACCACACCCACAGCCTCAGAGGCGCTCGCCTTCCAGGTTCACAAGTAACGGCTGTGTCTCCAAGGCGGCAATCGAGCCTCGCGGGCAGCACTGCGTTAAACCGGTGGTTCCCACGTGGGGCGCACGTCCCCCCGAAGGGCAGTGTGATGTTTAAGGGGGGCAATTCGAGAATGAGTTATTCACGGTGAGTTTTTTGTATTTCCTATGGTTCTAGGGGCCTCATATACAGCATATAAATATGTATTGTGACATATTTATGCATTTTGGTTCTATTATATGTTTTGAAACTTTAGTTGCTCTTTTTTCATATCACTTCATATGATTTTTTTTTTTTAACCATTTCTTAGGGATTTCTTCCTCATACTTGAACAGTCCTTTCGTTCTTGTATTTTTCTCTCTCGTGGACGCCATGTTCTTTGGAAGCTCGTTTAGGCCAAGGTCGTGGCCTTCTAGGCTTCCTCCACGTGAACGGGAGGCTCACTTTTTGAATAATGAGAATTCTGTGTCACGTGGGGGGGTGGGGGGGCATCAGGGTTTTAGAGATGCTCTGGTGGGGAGTGGCCATAACAGGCTGGGAGCCACTGCGTTCAACACTCGGCGGGTGGGCACCTGGCACAGGACTGGGCAGGCCTGTGGTGCAGGTACGCTCCTCTCCTGGACACACCTATGTTCCCATAGGACAGCTGAGACTTGTCCCCCACCAGCCAGGTCACCATGACATGTCCCTCCAGGGCCTAGCGGTCTCTCTCCTCTGCTTCCAAGAAGAGGTGTCGCCAGCGAGCTGGACCCCACTGTCTGTGTCCTCGCCCTGTCTCCTCCCTCCCCAGGGTGTCTGTTCTCTTTCCCTCTGTCCCCTTGCCCTGGCCCCGCCAGGAAATGCACATGCTGATCAGGTCTTCTTCCTCCCTCCCCAGACCTCACACCATTCTCACTGTGTCCTCCTCTCTTCGGGGAACACTCCCGAACTTAGGAACTTCAAGTGTAGCCCCCGGCCAGCGTGGCTCAGTGATTGAGGCCTGACCTCTGAACCAGGAGGTCACAGTTTGATTCCTGGTCAGGGCACAGGCCCAGGTTGTGGGCTCGATTCCCAGTGGGGGGTGTGCAGAGAAGGCAGCCAATCCACGATTCTCTCTCATCATTGATGTTTCTATCTCTCTCTCTCCCTCTCCCTTCCTCTCTGAAATATATATATATATTAAAGCCAAATGAACTAACAGCTGGAAGCACCTAAGACAGACAGCACCTGTCATACGTGTAAACGCACCATAAACGCTTGCTGTTATTCGCAGTGAATGCAGACCAGGCGCACCGGGACCTGCCCTCTGGGACACGTGCCTCCTCGCCTCGCACTCTGTCCACCCCCAGCAGACGTTCCGGTTGCAGACTGCACACCCCACCTGGCCTGCATCCACACCAGGCAAACTGGAGGGCGTGCCGGTCCCTGGGCAGCCTCCTCGCCCTCGCTCTTCTCCCTCCTGGGGTCTCTCCTCTCACATCTGGGTCTGATGAGGCTCCAGCGGCCTCCCAGCCAACCTGGACGCCCCCGTGAACCCCGCCCCCAGGTGTGCGCCCGCTGCCGGTGAATTCCTCCCAGCCCAGGGCTCAGTGCAGGCCCCTCATCCTCCCTCCACGCTCGGAGCGCCTGGAAGGCGATGTGCACATTCATCATCGCTCACTCAACCTCGCTGCGCTGACAGCGTCCAGCCCCTGCCCTCGGCTGCGGTAGGACGCAGTTGCGGGGGCTCAGAAACAGCCACCACTGGGCCAGGGCAGCCGGGCACATCAAGCCCAATGGGAAGGCTCTGCCGTTCCGGAGGCCTCATCCCAGTTCCCACGGGCATCAAACCTCACACTAGGGCCCTGGCCAGTGTGCTCAGTGGTTAGAGCTTCAGCCTGTAGACTGAAGGGTCCCAGGTTCCATTCCCATCAAATGCACATAACTCGGTTGCAGGCTCGATCCTCAGCCCCCGTCGGGGCACGTGCGGGAGGCCACCAATCGATGGGTCTCTCTCACATCGATGTCTCTCTCTCCGCGTCTCTCCCGCTCCCTTCCACTCTCTCTACAAACCAATGGAAAAATATCCTCTGATGAGAATTTTTAAAAAAACCTCACACTATCAATGGATGGTCTCCCTGCAAGTCTTTCTTTAGGAGGCAGCAGAAATAAATATGAGAGGGATGCTGACTTGTAGCCCTACCCTAAGGTGCCAACATGAAGATCACACCAAAAAAATGGCCCTCGTCCACCGGCCCGAGAATCAGAAGCCCACCGAGCCGTGCGGTTAGTTGGCTCAATGTCGTTTTCTGCTGGGCCCACCGTCTGGCAATCCCAAAGGAAGCCACTCGGGCCCCAACTTCTTCAGATTCACCACCTCCGGTGCGTTAGTCATGCGGAACTGGCCATAACGGCGCATGCACAGTCCCCTACCCACAGTCACTGCCCGGGAAGTGCCCAAACCCTGAACTCGCCAAAGGAAAGCCTCAGCAATGCACCATCCCAACAGCCACCCGGTAAACACTGCGGGCAGGGACTTCACCAGGTACGCAGGTCGGGAACAGGCCACCTATTCCTGGCTCGGCCCAGGAGCCCAGCTGCAACCTGACACCAGGCCTCAGCCCTTCGCTGCAGCCACGGGGGCATATTCACAGGCCCCTTCATGCCCACCCTCACCCAGCCTCACAGAGCACCCTGCTCCCGCCCCTCTGCCTCGGGGAGACGTCCCCGAGACACCAGGTCAGAGCATCCCAAATGCGCGTTTGTTTTCCCTCAGATCACAGACAGGCTCCTGAAGGTCAAGGACACTCACTCTCGGGATGCCGGGCGGTGCCCACAGATCCTTGGGCAGAGCTGCCCAACTCCCTCTCAACAGGACAAGTCCTAGGAAGCTACCTAGAGTGACCACGGTTCACTGAACGATGCTCATCTCATTGCACATGTAGGTACGACAACAAGAAAGTAAAAGGACGTGGACGTGTTCAGTTGGAATAGATTAGACGACAAAATATACGAAACACCAGCTTTGTTTTTTTCCTAATTTTTAAATTGATTTTAGAAAGACAGGAAGAGAGAGAAACACTGGCCTGTTTCTCCACTCATTGGCTGGTCTTGTCTGTGCCCTGACTGAGGATCGAACCTGCAACTTGGTCTAGAGCAGCGGTTCTCAACCTGTGGGTCGCGACCCCTTTGGGGGTCGAACGACCCTTTCACAGGGGTCGCCTAAGACCATCGGAAAACACATCTATAATTACATATTGTTTTTGTGATGAATCACCATGCTTTCATTATGTTCAATTTGTAACAATGAAATTGGGGGTCACCGCCACATGAGGAACTGTGTTAAAGGGTCGCGGCATGAGGAAGGTTGAGAACCGCTGGTCTAGTGGGATGCGGCTCTACCCCACTGATCTACCCTGCCCAGGGCTACACCAACTCTTTCAATAAAAGGACATACTCAAGTCCATTCAGTCTTCTTATTCCTTATTATCTGTTGCTTTTATTGAAGAGAGGTTTATCTCTATTTAAGTTGTTACTATACTTATTATTTATTAAGGTATCTTCTTTCCGGCTGGTCCTTCACAATAAACAGGTCCACACTCTTATCTTACACTCTCAACCCAAATTCCAAAGCAGCAAGGTAGCCAAAGAAAGCAAATCACACCCCTCTGCCCTCCGCAAAGGCAAGGCGAGGAACACTGGGAGGCTCGGAGCACCCAGGAAAGTAACGCCCTAAATCAAATTTTAAAAAAAAATCTCCTCACGCACAGAAAACACTTGAATCCAGCTCAGCGTGTCCCACTTTCCAAAACAACAAGCCGCACCAGCGAAAACACCCTGAGAGCCAGCAGCAGCCTGTGGCCGGCGAGGCTGAAGCCCCGGGGACACACACTGCCCCGGCCTCCGCTCGTCCCGGGGCCAGCGACAGGCCACGACAGAGTCCGGCAAGGACCGACGGCGGTCTCCCCGGCCCTGCTCTGGGAGTGTGAATCCCCAATTGCAGTCTGTCCTGGTGGTCAGAACTAGTACAGACGGACAGAGGACTGAGGTGTTGACAGGTTCGCATTATCTTCACTTTCAGCCCTGGCTGGGTAGTCAGGTGGTTAGAGCACCCTCCCGCTATGTCAAGGTTGCAGGTTCGATCCCCGGTCAGGGCACATTGCATAAATAAGTGGAACAACAAATCGAGGTCTCTCTCTCTCTGTGTCTGTCTGTCTGTCTCTCTCTATCTCAAATGAATACATTTAAAAGATAAAATAAAGGTATGTTCACCTCTCCCCAAGCACCTGAGCCTTAAAACAACTGGTACTGTTACTTGCACCGTTAAGGAAAAGTGACTAAAACAGCCATAAAGATAGTAGCGTTTCCTCACCAAACTACAAGGTTGAGAAGAGAGAAAAAAGAAGAAAAAAAAAAGCAGAAACTTACTTTTCATAGACCAGCTCCTCATCGATGGAGAAATAGTGGATATGTACTGTGCTTTTTGGTCTGTTCCTTAATGTAGCAAAATATAAACGATCTGAAAGACAAGTTTAAAAGATGGGAGAAACGTAAGAGAAGTGGGGAAGCTGGCGGCGGGGTGGCCACACACACGGGAAGACCAGAATAACAAGCGCTGCCCAGGACTTAAAGCCGTCAGCACGCGGGCTTCTTGCAGAAACCTGATCTCGCCCAGAAAGCGAGAGACCCAAGGGCACGGCCGTCCCAGAGGCACCCAGGGCACCCGAGGGAGGGAGGCACTCTGCGGGGGGCAGGGCACCCCGTCGCCCTCGGGTCAGGCCAGCGGGGAGCGCCTGGAAGCCGGGGTCCCCGCAGCACTGGCGACGCACGTTGGGTTCAGAAATGTGCAGCCGCAGGAAGGGGAAGCGAGGCGAGCCTTCCCCTGCAGCTCCGGGGACTCGAGAAGAGGAAGGGAGGAGAGACGCGGGGTGTGATCGTGGGGGGTGGGGGGGGGGCTGAACACCGAGGCCACCTAGAGTGAGACCCAGGCGCCCCAAAGGGTCCCCCGCAGCGGGACGCCCGCCCCCGCGGCTGCGTGCGGAGCGGGGCAGGAGCCGGAGCTGTCCCGGGACCGGCGGGAAGGCCACCGGCGGGAGCTGTGGAGGGACGAGGGACGAGGGACGCCAGAAAGACAGAGAAGCCGGAAGCAGGGGGTCCTGGGGGACAGGACCGGGGCGAGGGGGGCTGAGCGCGCGCGCCGGCTGCAGGGCGCAGGGGGCCCGGAGAAGTCGGGGCGACAAGTGAGGAGTTGGGGGGAGGGGGGTCGGAGGAGGCGGGGCGGCTCCTCACCTTTCATGAACTCGCAAGCCCCGATTAGTTCCCCTGACTCCGCTGCCATCTTAAGCGAGAGGCGCACGGGGGAGGGCTGGGTCGTGGCCCGCGGAGGACACCCGCCCCCCGGCGCTGCCCCGGTGCCCCGGACCCGGGGGGCTGGCGGTCCCGAACACCGAGCCCGACCGCGAGGGGCGGCGGGCGCCGAGGGCGGAGGCGGCTCGGGGGTCAGCGCGCCGGGCGCCCCGGGGACATTCCGTGGGGAACCCGAGCCCGCTCCGCGCGGGGCGCACACGCCCCGGGCTGTGGCCGCTCCGATCGGGACCCGGCTGCCGCCGCTGCTCCGCCGCCACCGCCGCGCCTGGGACACGCAGCGCCGCTCGCACGGCCGGGCCGAGTGTCCTCCCGGCTCCCGGGGCGATCATGGAGGAGCCGCCGTCTGGCCCCGATCGCGCCCGTGGCTCCTCGCGCGGCAGCGGGCAGGACTCCGGTGCCCGGGGCTGGCGGCGGCCGCCCGGCTCCTCCTGCGCCGCCTCCTTTCAGCGGCAACTCTTCCTCCTCCTCCTCCCCCCGGGCCCGCCCCCGTCCGTCCTCCCGCCCGCCCTCGGCCCCTCCGCTTTCAGGGCTCCGCGGCCATCCCTTAAAGGGACAGCCGGCCGCTGGCTGCGCGCCGCCCGCGCCGTCGCCAGGCGCCCCGCGGGTCACCTGGAGCCGGTTGCTAAGGCTTTGTTGCCGTCCGCCGACTGCGGGGCGGGGAGCGCCCGCCGGGCCCGGGGCGGCCTCCAGACCTGCCATTTATGAATGAAACGGGGGCGCGGGGGCGGCGATGCGCAGCGCCGCTGCCTCTCGGCACCCACGTTCTTCTAAACTCTTGCACACGCGCACACACACACTCACACACACACACACTCACACACACACACTCACACACACACTCACGCACGGAGACCTCGGCTCCCCGGGCCCGGCCCCGCCTCGGACGCACCTCCCTCCGTCTGGGCCGTGAACCCTGAAAGCAGACGCGCTACCTCCGAACTCAGAACACCTCGAACTGGTTTCCTCTGCGCATACCGCGCCCTGGGAGGATGTGCGCTTTGTTCTCATGGGGGCAAACGTTCCCATCCGGGGCCCCACGCGCTCAGCCTCAGGCCGCCCCTGGGGCGCAGAAAGCATCACAAATGCCCACCTTTACATCGCCGGGCCCGGGGCGGGGCGGGGCGCCGGGGGGCGGGGACCGGGGACCGGGGACCGGGGGACAGGCCGGGAGGGGCCGCGTGTCCTCGGGGGACACCAACGGAAGAGTGTCTTCCCGGCGCCTCGGCAGAAGCGCGCGGGGGCCGGGTCCTCCCCCAGAGGCCCGGGCGGGTTTCTGGGCAACTTTCAGGCCGGGTGTCCCGCGGCCGTGCCCCGGGAGAGGACCGGCTGGATATGAAAATGGCGCTCCGGACCATCGTCAGAAGAGCATGCGCCCTGAGTGGTTTGTGCAGAAACGCAGAGGGGCCGGCGGCGGCTCCCTTACCCACCCGGGGAGGAAGGGGGCGCGCGTGGCCCCAGCCGGCTGGGCGGCAGCGCGCGGGGCGGGCGAGTCTAGCTGGGCTCTCGCTGGTCTCAGCCCCGGGGCAGCTCTGCTGGGTGCACAGAAGCTAACAGGCCCGGCGATGGTAGAGGGACATGGCTTCGATATTCAGAAGGGTTCAGAGCATCTCCTGCGACTGGCACTCGCCTTTGGAAGAGAGTGAAGAGGAAAACCTACCCTCACATCCGAATCTCTAAGCCCTAAGGCCAGAATCCCACCAGCTGGGAGCTGGAAGAGTCACTAAAGAGCACCTTTCACCATCCCCCCGTCTTCACAGGCGGAAAACGATCTCAAAAGACTTTTTAAACATGTGAACGTCCTGAAAAGGAGGCGTTGTGAGGCCGGCTACACTCTGTTGAGACGCATTCCCTGTTTTAGGGGCCAGGGGCCCATGGCTCTGAGTTCAGAAAATGGAACCATCTCTTAAGCACGTGGCCCACAGTCACACAATCAGGTGAATTTTGCCTGATGTGTATTCCCCCGAATCTTGGTGTCTGCAAGCACGTTGGCCAATTCACATTATGTTCTTGAAAAATTCTCATTGAGATTGGTATGTGGAAAAGCCAAGCATTCGAGTGTCTCAATAAACGTACCCACTCTGTTGGAAAGGCTAAATTAATTCAATGATGGAGAGCTTTATCCAAATTTGCCAATTTAAAAGTCATGTAGAATCTAAATTCGCTTAGCAGATTCCTTAACAATTTTTCATCCCAGTTTTGTATTAGAAATGCTGCATTAGAAAAGGAAGTTGGAGTTCTCATTCAATGCGTAAACTTTACATTTCTCAAAGGAAATGGTCTAATGAAAAGAACTCAACACTGCACTTTCAGAGAAGGCAGACTTCATTGAACACCCTTTTGTTGTTTTTTAAATTGAATTTACAGAAACACATTCTGTCCTATAATTCTCTTGCTTAGAAATTTGGGTCATGAGTGAATCATGGCCTAAACAAATAGATGTCCTTCAAATTAAGCCCTCAAAATGAAAGGGTTTCTTTTTCCTTAGCACATATGCAATATGAACATTATAAGGAAATTTTTGAAGTTAAAAATATTCATTTTGAAGACTCTAAGTAAGTTTTAAAAGTTTTGCATGAAAAGAAAGTGATTGTCTGAATAATCAAAGCTCTCAAGCAAAATCTTCAGAACCTACATGGCATAGAAAAGTCTACAAGAAAAATCAAGACAGTGCACACAGCACACACCCCTGTCAAAGTTCTAACGAGATCACAAACACTATTCTCTCAGTTATGAAGTCAGAGTTCTCACTGGTTGTAGTTTCATAATAAAGTCATGATTTCACCCTCTATGGAGGAGGATCATGGAAGACAATCCTTTCCAATCACCCAGCTTCATATAAAAGTTAGGAATTTGCTTTTAAACAAACAAATGAAAAAGTGTTTCAGACAAAGGAAATTCTGAGAGAACGAAGATGTCACTCAACTGCAGGAAAGGGAGTCAATGTTATTCATAGAAATTTAATAGCAGAGAAGTGACTGGAGTTTGAAAAGACCAGCATTTAGTCTAACTCTGCAAATGCCATGTGAGTGCTGCCTGTGACGCCCGGAGAGCAGGCCCAGGCTTTGCTTGTGACCAGCAGAGCTGGAAAACTCAGAGCTAAAGGCAGCTCCAAAATACGTCAACCCCCCCCCCCCCGTCCTAATTCTGTCCCTTGAGGCTGTACTGATCACCCTTAGTCACTCTTGAGCCTAACAAACCTTCCAGAATGCAAAGGCAGTCTGGATGAGCATGGACCTATGAACCAGGATGCCACGGTTCCATTCCTGGTCAGAGCACATGCCTGGGTTGTGGACTTAGTCCCCAGTGTGGGATGTGCAGGAGGCAGCCAGTCAATGATTCTTTCTCATCATCGATGTTTCTCTCTCTCCCTCCCTCTTCCTTCCTCTCTGACATCAATAAAAATATGTATATTTTTTAAAAATGCAAAGGCGCTCTCTCAGACCACGTCTTCCTCTTAGTCTTTCCCAGATTAAGTCCTCCCCCCTCCCCTTTTCTTTTCAGCCTTCTCCTAAATTCCATGCCCCCCTTCCTGTCCAGTCATTCTCTTCTCGAATTTGTCTATACCCTCAAAGTGTGTCCCAGATTGAACGTAGGCCAGGGGTGGCCTGGTGCCGCCAGCTCTGATATCAGAAGAAAGCAGTGAGGGGAGATTCAGATGGGAAGGAAAGCCATACAAAACATAAAAACTAATGTTATTACTTAGCTGCAAGAAAATGAGAAAATATCTTCTTGCAAGAAAAAAGCAGCCCAGGATGGTCAAAGGCCTGACAGCTGTGATATTTACATCTTGTATCTGTTTAAAATTATCATTTCTCAGCATGTGTCATCGGAACATGCACTTTTAGTTCATGCCATGGTGATGGGATCCAAACAAGTAAAAGAAAACATAGCACACATACTTTGAATTCTCTTTTAAAGCAATTTTCAGTTTAACTAGGGAGCCAGGACTGCAGAACCCTGCACTGCTGAGGAATTTGAAATCCAAGGTCATGTGAATTGTTTGAATGTTTGAGAATTAATTCCTTGCCGGATGCCAAGAATAATTTAAAGCAATTTTTAGTAAAATATACATACAAGAAATTATGACAGTTACGAGAAGAATACCAAAAATATGTAGACAGTGTAGCTCATAATACAGCTGCCCACGATGCTGAGACCTGGGCCTACCCATGCCACACTCTGCACCCCACTCGTCACCGATGCGTTCAAGAGTTCCAAACGAGAAGGAAAGACAGCAGGAGCCAGGCGGGACCTGGGACATGAGCTAGTTCCCGTGTCCAAGGAAGCAGCGGTCCCACCTGGCTAGGTTTTACCTGTTTCATATATTTCATCTGTGAAAGATCATGCGATAACATAGAGGAAAGAAGAGAGAAGGAGCTGAGGTGCAGAGTGGGGAACGGGTTTTCCAAAGTCACATCGCCGGCCGGGGGTAGAAACAAGACCAGCGTTCATCGTCTGGTCCGCTACCAACAATCTTTCCTCGGTTTTCTCCTAATTTGGCTTATTTTACATTGTTTAGCTCACCGGTTCTTAAACGTTTGAGATGATAAAGTATCGAGTAATATGTATATGCACAATATCTTAACTATTTTCTTCAAATTTTAGAGAAGATGTTGAAATAATTTAAGTTCAGAATGAAAAAAGTAGATGTTGTATTGTCTGCCATTGCTATTGTTGTCATGTGGCTTCTGTACAAATCTGAGTTATTTTTCCACTCCTGTGATTTGTTAATAGCATAACAGCATTCTATAGAACATAGTTGAAGAAATACTAGTTTAGTGAACATTAAGTAAAACAATCCAATAATCATTCTTGACTGCTGCAGCCAGTAAAAAATGATGTAGTTTTAGGTCTAGCCAGGTAGCTCAGTTGGAGCATCATCCAGGTACTTGTGGGTTCGATCCCCGGTAGGGGCACATACAAGAATCAACAAATTGATGTTTCTTCCTCTCTCTCTAAACAAAAAAATCAATCAGTAAATACAAATTTAAAAACATTATAAAATCAATAAGCTAAAAATTTATATTAAAAAATTTTAAATAAAGTATTAGGAGATGAACTTATGTGAATCATTGGGTATATAAGTCAGTTTCTTTGTAGCCTGGAGTCACAGAAAAAACAGTAGATTTTTCATCAGGAGCCCAGGTTGTAGGCATCGCTCTGTCGCCAACTGCATGCATTTTCTTAGGTCGTTTCCTCTGCCGTTAAGTAGGAATTATAATAATTTCTAACTCATAGGAATAACAGTCGAATTAAAGGAGTGTGCCATGTTGTCATGCCATTGTACACAAAAATGTGTTATTAATATAAAAGCCTATATTCAATACTAAATTATTTCCAAAATATGATTTTCACACACTTCAACTTATTGTATCTATTTGAACGTAGGTATTGTTACTTAACGGCCTCCTACTTAACCACATAAGCACAATATGCACTCACAGAGACGCTCTA